ATATAGATAGGATTTGGGGAAATTGTAAATAGCATTAAAAGTTCTCCAGAGAAGAGTTCTGACCAAGAGACGAGCCAAGAGCCGACGACGACAGATGCCTTCGGAGAGAAGAGGAAGTCCCACGAGAGAAGCTGTTATTTCACTATCCTATAACTATAATGAGGTTTATTAGGTAAACCTCAACTTTGTTTTGTATAAAGTGAGTGATTTTCACATTCTGTAAGTAATGTTTATCTGTATTTATAACTGGTGTGAGGTTTTGTAGACCTCATCGCAAGGATTATTATTGTATAAGGTTTATTTATATTGGGATTTAGGTAGACCCTTTGGTCAAAACTGCACTTCGCTGGTTCACGAACGACAACAAAATGACCTTTTGTCACAATTTTTTTTTCAACTGAAGAGGGGGTCCTTCTGCTCAATGTGGACTTGGATGGCCTGCACTGTGTATTTTTGTGTCATGAATAGATACTGTACATGTACATGTAGGTGGTTGATTTCCATCAGGAGTCATTACTCCCAAACATTGACCAGAAATTGGAGAATGGTTTTCGTCTGAGTATCATCTTTCCTCTTTCATGTACACTACAGTGTACATGTACATCTGCAACTGAGCATTTATTTCGTTGACCACAAAGGGTAGGACTTTGCCAGATCAAAATTTCCTCCAAATATACTGCCAAATATCCTTCATCATATGTTTCTTTCAGATTTTTGCATCCTCCTCTGAAAAAAAATAACTCTTCAATCTTCCAGAGTTGTTTTTACTAATGATCAACTTCAATGATACATGTACCCTTTAAACAGGTTGCTGCTCTAGAAATAGACAACATGTAGCTTAGAGCTCAGAGCTCTGCAAAATCTGCAGGATTTAAGATAATCATGTTTTGCCTCTGAGAAGGGAAACTTCCTAAATTTGTTCACTTGTACATTTACAGTATGTATGTTTGAGACAACATAAGTCATGTTACATATATTTTAACTGCACATGGCCACAAAGCCAGGAAGATTATTCTTAACTTGCATACAATTTTATACAGCATGTCCTCCAATATGCAACCTGAATGTAGCATTCATCGTCTCCCAAAGTATTAATCAGAATTGGTATCAAATTAAAGCTGACAGCGTTTTCTATTTATAATGACATTTAGTTTGAAGCTCATGCTGTGATGCTGAGATTCTTTTAACTACACATACATAGTACAGAACTTAATTCAGCTCAGTATTCTCATTCTGAAGGCCATTTTCAATGATATTAGTGTTAAATGGAGTAAACACAACTGTGTGACTGCTGCTTGTTTTATAAAAGTACATATAGTTTCATATAATCATCGCATAACCTTACATTTAGATATAATTTCTAAACATGGACAACCTGTTCTTTTAAATACAGGGTGGCATAACCAAATGTGTTACAAGTACACCCACTTTTCTCATTCTGGTGAGGTCCTTTAGAATTGAGAGGTATGAAGTTTCTCTCTCCTTTTTTTCATCAAAAGAGTATCCCGGTGCCAGGCGTTTGAGCCATGGTGAATCTACTGAAATTCTGCAAATTGTGAATCAGAGAAATGGGAAACACTGCTTGTCAACATCAATTTTCAAACAAAAATAAAAATTGGCATCAAGTTATATATACATGTACTATCAGTTTATCTCTGCTCAAGCAAAATTACTGGAATACTACCATTTACAATACATACATAAATACGAATATAAAATGCTACAAATGGAGGTGAATTCATAATATTCTACAGCTGAATTAAATGTTCACTTTCAGAATTTTCAGACCTTATTGCGCCACTAGACTATTTCTAGTCCTACTTCAGGATAATAAAGCCCCCTAGTCATTACAACACTTAAGTACAAACATTCTCTGGCATTTTAGGAAGTGGGTGAAGAATCACTGTAAACTGAGGTAGCATGATTGGCCTGCGCTCGTGCCACATGCTTGCTGGCTGCCCTGAGATAATTTCAAAAATGCCGAATAAAATTACTCAAAATTAATTGACAGCTCACAAATCTAGTCCATCGTACTTTCAGTTTGGTCTTACCAGTTGGAATACATAAAAAAAATACTGCAAACTACCTTTACCTGTAGTTGTTCTTCTTTGACAATTTTACCGGACGGTCTCGTTCAGTACACAAATCATGATAGTCTGTGGCAGTCAAGATAGCCCATGGTTTTTGAAAATGGCGCCGTCCGTGAAATTACACTCTGGCGCCCGCTGTCGGTCTATCCGGTTCGTAAGTGATTTCGTCACAAAGGCGGACGCGCCACGATCTGCAGGCTCTCATTGGACAATTGCTGAAGATGCTCATTAACTTCCGGTTCCATGGTTCCATATAAACGGCGGTTGATGCATGTAACCCTGTGCAGTGGGCGTGGTTTAAACTGAAGTGACATCACACTTACGAACCGGACAGGTTATTTTTGTCTATGCCTGCAACCTTGGACGTAAGGCTTGTGGGTCAAAGTCTTTGCCTTGAGAATCAAAGCCTTTGCTCCAACACTGACTTGTACTCAGACTGACATGATTTGAAATGGCATGAACGATGACGAGATCATGCGATTTAAAAAATTACAGTTAAAATGCTGACACTGAAGCTTCAATGAGTGTAGGTGTGCAGAGTTGTGTTTAGTCTCGGTCATTAATAATTTATGTTGGTGTAAATCATGCATGAAGCAACCAATCAGAAGCGCGCATTACTTTACGTGGCGCTGACTGCGTAGGTTTCCAGGACTTCTTGCGATGGCAGCGTGCTAACAAGAGCTCTGTGGAGTCGTGGCGTCTATATACTGAGTTTTAAGTGTTAAATTTGACGTACGACCGCTGGGGGTTGGGGATCTACCTCAAGTGTGCCTGGTGCGATCGGTTAGTGTGGTGCTTGTTCTCAGTTGCGGGAGCTGCCGATTATATAAGATCTCATTGAAGATTGGAGGATTGTTAGACAGTCCCGTTTGTTGGATTGTAGGGTTAGGGAACCCGTGTGAATCAGTTAGTTGGGGAATTAGCGAAGCTAAGACTGGAGGGATCGCGTGCCGTTGTTCCATGCTTGTTGGCATAGCGACGGTTGATTGCACTCCTGGTCTGAGAGCTTGCTTTCCTCGTTGAGTTTTACTGGGTGCAAGTTTCCGTTTAAGTCTGTGAGGACTATTATAATCGCCTTCTTAATCAACTTACCCGTGAGGGTTATTTAAGTCAAGTCACCTTGAACCTTGTTGCAGTTTGGCAACTGTGTTGCTTCGTAAGGAAATAGAGGTTATTGTTGTATAAGTTTACCCTGTTGTGCTGTATAATAACGAAGATTGTCTTTGCTTGTGTGGTCAAGACTTACCAGTTATAAGCCATCAGTAGATTTTTTAGACTTAAGGGTTACCTGTTAACTTGAGGGTTACTGGTCATCAAGGGTTACTTGGTTATTGTGAGGGTTACCTGGTCATTAAAGGTTACCTAGTTATTGAGGGTTATCTGGTTATTGTGAGGGTTACCCTGATCACCGTGAGGGTTACCCTAGTGTAGGTTGAGGATAAATTTCTTAACTAGGACTACCTACCCGTGAGGATCATTTTGTACATAATTAAATGCTTTTGTGTATACGAAGGATAACTGAAGCACCGGCAATGAATAAACATCATATAAGTGCCTTTGGAATCACTGGTCACCGTGAGATTTAGTCCACTGTATCACGTGTATTGACATTCATTGTAACCTTTATTGACATTGGACTCAATTACTTAATCACAGATTGGTGGTAGATTCCACCAAACGAACAGCACCGTTCGTTAACTGATATCCCCCTTGCGTTTGGATAGCCGCTCTTTCTTGCGTAAGGTTAAATAAATATGTAGCGACGGCGGGAGAGCGCCTGTTGGAGGGTGCTGGGCGTAAGCCCTGGGGGGGGGGAAGGTTGCCCTCCCGGTAAGGGATTGGAAAGCCAGACGGCGTATGGTAGTCTAAGTTTCACACCAGCTTTATTGCGAACTGTGGCACATTGGTGTAGTTCAAAATAAACACCCCGCTCACCAGGAGTGGGAAGAGATTATCGGTAGTTCCCGCCCGTATCTGAAGGGAGTTTTCCTGGCTGTTTTTGTCAGTTGCTGGCCCTCAGTCCAGAACGTAGAGAGAGAGCGCGCGAGAACTTTCCCGAACAGGGACCGAATCACACATGTAGTAAACCATGCGCATGGTTAATAATCCCGTCCATGCAATATGGGAGGTAATTTCTTCAATAAAATATTGTTGATGACCAACACCTATGACCAATTAATACGAAAAAAGTTCAAAGCTATATCATATAGTTATAATAAACTATTTAACAATTGGGCACTATTTGGAGCTAGTGGAGAGAGACACGGCTGGATCCAGATGACCAGGTTTCCCTACCGCCCACTGATGATTAATAATGACAGCCCAATCACCAAAAGCTATTTCTCAAGTTAGATTGACCCGCACTCGACCAAAGTCTCTACTTTATTTTCTCCTTTCACCAGCCTCGGCGCAGGATTTTTGCGACCACACCACAGCCTTATCATCCACCATCGACTTCATTACCTTATCTCATTTGACAACTATCTCAATCATCCTTGCCCCTCTCCACAGTAGGCCTACCCACAATTTTATCATCCTAATTCCTTCGTCTTATTTAGTTTTGTCAAATCAGAACAGCGTGAGTTGAGAGCCCTCAGATAGCCCTACAGACTTATCCAGGTTCCTGCAATGGCACTAGTGAGGCTCTCTATACTCCGGACGAAGTCTGTGTTCACACGGTCATCCAGCCGACAGCGCCCTCTACTTGTGTATTGATTGTATTGAAGGCAGGTACTAGGTTCAGGAGCGTTGAATAAACCAGCTCTGCAACATCCTTTGAAGTACAATACACGCGGGTGTGGGTACAAGTACACGTGGCTAAATCATAGGCTGCACCTGCCTGCACGAAACCGACTGCTTTCGAAGTGTATAGTCTCAGTGGGTTATTATTATGACACAGTGTCGCTAACAATGGACCATGCTCCTGCTGACAAACCAACCGACCCACTGGTGTTTTTCTGCAATGGTAAAAAAGTAAGTTAGCTTTCTATTTGTCCAAGGCTTGGGTTGTAGGTCAAGTTTAGTTGAAGGCCTAGTGGTGCAGTCCTGTTTTTGCTGACGTTCGTTTAGTACAGCACAAGACGCACTTATGCTAGTGTTACGCCCATTATATTTGGTAACAAAATAAAGCAGGCCTAGTAGAGCAACGTATAACAGTGATTCATGAGCGCAAATTTGACAAGCTGTGGCATTTAACCTTGCGCGAAAATTACACTGGCCAAATTATTAGCGCGTGCTAGTCGCGATTTGCGCAAAGTTATACGAGTTTACACTGACAACCTTGCCAAAGTTTTGACTTTTGGAACGTCCACATATATACGCTACCTGCCACATTTGAGCACTGTGCAAGTTTAAATTTGCATGTGCCATTTTTTTCTCCCTCGAAAAGTGAGCACGTGCAAGTCTACAACCTGGGCAAGTTTGTTCTTAAGTACTTTGTCGTTGCAACCTCTGTGCAGCAACTGAGTACAACATTCGTCCAGAAACCCCATCGTTCCAAGAGAACCGAATCAGGCGTTTTTGCCAGAAAAAAAAATTACAACAGGTCGACTCAAAGAATAAAACCTTGATATCACTTTAACTCAAACACGTAGTTTGGGAACAGTTATCTTGTTTTATAGCTAATCGGTGAAGAGAAGGGCAGACAGGTATTTTTTGGTTTCCTTCTTCCTCCATACGCAGCCTATTTGGGACCAAAGATATTGTCGTTTTAAAATCAATATCAATAATTACATTTGTTTTCATTTATGGTTTAACCAGGTTGTGGTTCATCATGTGAAGCCAGAACTTACTTTACTCGCCTACCTGCGCACAAAGTGTATCCTTTGAATCGCCATATTCTTAGGCTTGTCGTTTTTGTACTTTCATACGTATAAAGGGGAACCATTAAAACAAGAACTGGTTATATAGTTGTGGCACTGACCTCAAATAGATAATTTCTCAGTGTAATTTCTTGATCTATTAAAATAATGACTTCATAGTTTCCAAAACTATCCAGATACTGATGTGACGCCATTTATAACATCAATCACTACGGATGAATGTTAACTTTGAAGTGCCTGTGGTTATTGTTACATACATGTAAATGGAAAAACGTCCTGTTTGAAAAATTTCTTGTCCTGAATTTTTTTTGGGGGGGTTGAAGTTTAAAGTATCACTGAAATACATGTCATGGAACTAGTCCGGCATGGCCTTAGTTTCTTTACGGTTTCAATTAAAAGCACAATACTCTTGTTCATTTCAGTATAGACGTAAATTTAGATGTTGAAAGCTTCATCAAAACATCGAATACTAACTACATGAACCGCTAACTAATATTTATAAAGCTGGAATTATAATCATTCACGGCGGGTTCACAACGTAATTTCAAAATTGGGATTGGGTTGAAATCTGGTTGCCATGTTGTTTCGACGTCGATACATGTAACTAGTATAATACCACGTTATGTCAATGTCGCTTTTGTGAAACTGTCTTAAGTCTCAATAGAATTCTTTCGTTTTGTACTGCTCGAACCACGCGTAGATATGTATACGACGAGTACTATCCAATCGAAAGCAAACGAAAACAATAGGACCAGCTTGTCGTATACCAGTTCAATCGAATGTTAGTGCTTGACTCGATTAGACAGTATATACATAATTCAGTTTACGTGAGACTCAAATCCTTTAATAATGCATTATAATGTAAGCAAGCTGCATGTTATGCATGTTGGTCAATCTATTCTTTCTTCTTCATCGACTGAATGCCACATATAAAGCAAGATATAAGACGGAGAGAACCTTCCTGTTTTGTGTTGGTCATAGTTTCACTGGAATCTGAGGAATTCTTTTGAGACATCTAGGGGGGATGTGTTTAGTAACAATAGTCCAGAATGTGTATAGCGATGAACGAGTGTGTACCCTTCAGTCTCATTTCTTGCTAAATGTAGAATGCCAGGCCTTGAGCACGTGTTCACGATACCGAAAAGGGTCATTCTTTGAAGCAGGGCAAAATGTATGACCGAAAATCTGTGCTGCATCTGTAAGTGCCACAAGCTTGCAGCTAAGACATAGTGGTACTTTTTGGAAGAATTAGCACCTTGGATGTTTTCATACATTTTCTTCAATAAATCTCATTGTGCATTATTCTTCCGTGTTCTACTAAAAGGAAGAATGCCTTTTCGAGTCCAGATAGTATGATGATTCAGTTTGTAAAGCTGACAATTTGGAAATAAAGACTCCAAAACAAATTGATTTTTTGTTTAGTAGCTTATTTCATCATCTTGCCAAAAGCGAAAAACGATAACGAGAAATTTTTAAACATAGAAAGGATGTGCAGAACCCTAGTGATTCTATGCCCTGTAAGATCATGTCAGACAGAGAATGGTTAGGAAGGTTGAAGTGGTGGCCCACAGGGGATCTAGTCGTTTGGTGTTGACCCTGGATCTGTGGCCATAGAAACGCTTCATGAGAGTGTTCTTAGTCTCTCCAACATACACCCTGCAAGAAATAAGATATATGACATTAGAAGAGCTACCAGTGATAGTGCCTTTAGTTCTGTGGGTGGTACCGGAAGAGTGTCCAGAGAATGTATCTGATTCCAGGACGTGGTTCTGGCAAACAACACATCTGCTGAAATCACACTTGAACGTGCCTTGCCGGGAGGGGGAAAGGTATCCAAAGGGAGCACCTCTGCCCGAACGATAAGGTCCCGTAGGTTGCAGGGACGCCTGTAGGCTACAAGCGGGGTGTCTAGGATGGCACTTTCTAGGCGGTCTGAATGTGGAGGATGATTGTCTTTGATTATTTTGCGGAGGGGAGGAAGACGAGGATAGAAAGTGGTGACCAAGGGAACCCTGGGGATTGTTTCTTTCCTTGAGTGCAAGATTTCTAGGGACGGAGCGGGCCCTATTGAAAGAGCGTTGAACCTGGTGACAGGTGTGCCCCCTTGCAATCAAATGCCTCTTCAGTTCCTGTGTACGACGGGAGAAATCTGAATCATTAGAACAAATGCGTCTCAGCCTGAGTGTTTGGATGTATGCAATACCAGTCTTGCAGTGTCTAGGGTGACAGCTGAGTGAGTGAAGATACTGATGGGTATGGTATGTGTCGGCTTGGAATACAGGTCAGTAGTCACGAAGTTGTTCTCCTTCCGGGCGCTGACATCGAGAAAGTTGGCCTGATGGAGGGAATTTTCCGAAGTGAACTTAATTGTCCTGTGGAAAGAATTGATATGGTTAATGAAGATGTCTAGACTGCCACTGTGACTGGTCCAGATGAAAAATACATCATCAATGTATCTCCGCCAAATCCAAGGGCGGCACGGTGCTGAAGTGAGCATGCGCTCTTCAAGGTTACCCATGAAGATGCAAGCAAAGGAGGGAACCATGCGGGTGCCCATAGTTGTGCCATGTACCTGTAGATAGTGTTTGCCCATGAAAGAGAAATTGTTCTCGGTTAGTACATGTCTCGTAAGCGTCGCGACATCACTGATGGGGGGAGTTGTGTGTCCGCTGTTCATGAGAGCAGAGCAGCAGGCACGAATACCTTCTTCATGGGGAATGTTAGTATAGAGAGAAGAAACATCAAAGGTCCCAATGATGGCTGTGCTGGGAATCTGGTTCTTGACTTTTTCAGCTTACGTAGGAAGTCTGGCGTGTCGTGGATATATGACGGGATCTGTGGAACGAGGGGTTTGAGAAAAGTGTCAATGAGCAATGGTATGTTTTCAGTGGGCGATCCATTTGCGGAAACGATGCCCCCCTAGATTACCTGCTTTGTAGATCTTGGGGAGTAGGTAAATCCTAGCAGTTTTAGAGTTCCTGGCATTGTTTAACAAGATAAATATCAGCCTGATCGTTCACACGTTTATAACTCGACACACACAAATCTTTGTCATTTCTTGCTGGATATAGAATACCAGGCCTTGAGCACTTGTTCACGATACCGAATAGGGTCATTCTTGGAAGCAGGGCAAAATGTATGACCGAAAATCTGTGTTCCATATTTAAGTGCCACAAGCTCGCAGCTAGGGCATAGTGGTACTTTTTAGAAGAATTAAAACCTCGGATGTTTTCATACATTTTGTTAATGTTATTATTCTTCCGTGTTATACTAAAAGGAAGAATGCCTTTTCGGATCTGGATAGTATGATGATTCAGTTTGTAAAGTTGACAATTTTTAAATCTTGCCGAAAAGCGAAAAACGTCATTGAGAAATTTTTAAACACTGAAAGTATGGTTAAAATCGGTCGCAATATTCCTGAACTCAATTCAATATATTTTTCCTAACTCAATGTCGACGTGCAGACTTCGACATTCACCTATATAACTGAATTATTGTTTAAATTGTGTCGCAATAATAACGACCTAAATTTGATGTTCATAGCCAACGTCGTGTTGTAAACGTTGTTACAATGTCTATATTTCCACAACTGCCTAATGTTAATTATTTTCGAAATAACGTCGCGAGTTTAACAGCCTAAATTTAATGCTTATAATAAACGTTAACGTTTTGTATCGCAGCAAAATTCAATTTTACCGTTGGCGGCACTGATGAGTCTACTCGCATGTCTAAATCCTCTTGAATATTAGTATTAATATTAACTTTGTATCGCAGCAAAATTCAATTTTACCGTTGGCTGCACTGATGAGTCTACTCGCATGTCTAAATCCTCTTGAATATTAGCAGCGTGCCGTGTCCGATTTACTTGGTAACAGCTTGAAATTACACTCTATGTTATGAAGAGCGGTTGCAGCCAATGTACTAATCTCTACGGTAATAAACCACAGCAAGAAATTCGGACACGGTCTGCATAACATACCATCATATATCACAGCCAGATGTGACATTTTATTCGTGACGCACAGCGTGTGCTTGGCGCATTCGCTCATCTATAGAAGTTATTGAAGTCCCAAACACATGGGGGTTTCGCACTGCCCTCCAGTGGTCGCTGAGTCTTCCAACTCTGGTACTGAAGTTGCCCATGATCAGTAACATGTTGATGAAAGGTGCACGTTGGTGGGCTGTCAAGGTCCTCGTAGAAACGCTCTTTGCTTTGAAAGAGCTTATCAGAGTATTGTGACATGTCGTTTCTTATTCAGTGGAATGCACAGCTTCGTGAGCCACTTATTTCGCTTGATAAATCCGTCTTTGGTCCTTTGTATTGAACTGCCTTTCCATATTGACATAAAAACTATTAAATCTTGATGACAATCAAAACTAATTCCATTATTCACACGGTAATCTAGCCTTGGTCAAAGCGCTCGTCATGCAACGCAGCGCGCACCAGCTGCTCGCTGACTCAACGTACCTGCGTACCGTACCTCCATACGTTGCAAAATCAAAGCGAAGAGCGACATCACGCGGCCTAAGAAATATGCAAATCAGCTGAACCAGCAGGAGCCAGTTCGTGAACTGCGCTGAATGAACACCTTGACCAAGGCTAACAGTAATCCAGGTTACATGGATCCTCTTTGTTTTCCGCTTCCCCTACAACAATTGCCGTAGAACGGGTACAGCAGTATGACCAAACATCGACTATATAATTCTACAGCCACACTTAGAAGCCATTACTGCGGTGGCACTTTGCTCATACGCGGGCGTTTTATGCCTTTTGTCCATTTGGGTGTCGCGATTTGCCCGGATGCATACACGCCAAAAGCTGAGTGATATGTCGTGTGAGTATTACTTTCTTGGGGAGGGAAGTTGCCCCCCCCCCGATACGCTACTGTATAGTATATAAATGTACATAGATTTATCGAAAAGCTAGTCTTTGTCATACAAGTTTAATGTCAAACACACATAAACTGCTTTTCAATCTGCCGGAATTATAAATGAAGAGAGCCATTTAATCGCCGAGCTAAAACAATGAATAATACCCACTCACTTGTCTGAGCGTAACGACCTTTATCCTGGACCTGTCGACTTCGATATTTGACTGATCTCGAGCACAACCCCGCCCATGTCTTAAAATTATTCATTTCAGAGTTAATTAAGTAGGGTTTAAGACAAATGAAGAAATCGATGGATTGATGAAAAAAGTTCCAGCATAGTTGGTGAGATAGCAATAACGGACCCAAGGACTTTGTATACAGTTTCATAATGGCGACTTTCGTTTTCGTGATCCCACTTTTTCTGTCGGACTTCTGACATAAATATATTCACAATTTAAATTTCATTGTTTAACAAAATAAATATCAGCCCGATCGCTCATACGTTTGTAACTCGACACACGCCAGTCTCTGTCACTTAAAATAATAATGTATGTACTCGATATATTCAATTATCCGTAGGTGTAGGCCCTACGTGTAGCAGCCCGATTTCAAGGTCTGTCCTGGATTTTCAGATCAGTGCATTAGCACTATTTACTCTGTTGTCATGAAACTTTGTACGACCTGAAATAAGCAACATTCCTGATAATCTTTTTACTTGCACATGTCAGAGGGTCAAGTGACCCGATGCCTACAAATGACAAGTGGTCCTTAAGGTAAAATGCATTTAATCACAAGATATTTCGTTTGTTAGTCACTTATAAGATTACTTTACAAATTGTCAACCATTATATTACATGTACCAATATTTTGACAGTGTCGTCTTTGTGAAAGGGACGTCGATTTAGATTGAATGTGTCCATCATCAGATCCAACTTAGGTTTGTTGTTGGAGAAAATCCACGGCAAAAAATGGTGTGAGAGAAAAAAAAGTCTGGAAAAGTCGTCCGGCGGTAACAATGTCTGATAGGTTCAGGATATTACTTATGCACTGCAAAGAAAACGATGTTGTCAGGGGACTCTTCCAACACGTTTCACCGTTGTTACAATTTTTCGTTACATGTATTACACCCTCCTGTGCATTGTTAAAGTAACGTATTTTAGTGTGGTCATCTGATAATACCAAAAAGTGTTTACACCAGAGTTCTTGCAGTGCGTACATTGCAATTTACAGGTGCATGTATGTGTTGGAGGGAAGAAATCCCTTAACATTTTTAAAACTACAGTGCGGCTCACTGGTACTAAACTTGGCTGTGGGGAAGGAGGTTGTGGGGCCTGCACTGTCATGATATCAAAGTATTCTCCAAAGGACAAAACCATCAGGTAGGTGGCTGGTCATGACTTTTTTGTTACAAACGCCAGTTACACATGTGCGTGGTAGCCTGCCGGGTGCCTCGGTACTTGGTGGCCCCCTCATGGTAAAATGGTATAGGCTCATTTGTTTAACTTTTTAGATAGGCCTAGACAATTCGTGGGAAATAAAGGACGCTTGTTTCACTCGGAAAAATTGTGAGCTTATACAAGTGTATCGTTCTGAACATATTAAGTAATGTCTTCAACACTGTTTGATTTTCTTCGTGGATTTTTTGGAAGAAAATGTTCTACACAGATACACAGCACAAATTAGTATGGAACGGTTTATCATATCATACATTGTGTGCCATAAAATGTATTACTTTCTAAAAGTAGTTATGCATATTTATAACTTTCTAACTTTCTATCCCCTATAAAAGGGAAACTTAAGACACTGTTTCACCAATAGTACTACTATTTTCTTTGATTTTCCGAATCATCCCCATTAATTAATATTAATTTCACTCCCACTACGTCATTATCTCAGGTGTTGTGACGTTATCAGTCGCTTTTGTACATATTTTGAAAACGCAACAAAATAAAATTTTGACTTATGCGGTGTTTGTGACCGGAGTGTAGTTGTTTATTTTCCCAGTCCTAAAGAAACTGGTACCCGGTTGCAAACAGCCCGTAAACGCATATGCTTACTTACTGGACCATGGAGTATCCGAACTTTCCTAAATTCTCTAACAAACCGCCTCCCTGAGTTCTGCTGTACAGAAATCAATGGCACATTATTTACTCTTGAAGTACTGGAAACATCAAGCCCCGTGTGAAAGTCCATGGGCTCTACGTTTTTGAATCCTGCAAAAATCGTTTACGCTCCTGGTAGAGTTTTAAAAAATCTGCAAAGCTTAAGGTTTATATTATTCATTAGAACCAGAATATTCTTATGAGCGTGGAAAAAAAAAGACTACCGAGAATACAACTTCTAGGTGGTAGTGGTGGCGGGACGGGAACGGACAATATTTAGCTCATTTTTTTATTTAAAGGGGGGAAGTTGCATCTTTAAAAGGGAACTTCACTTATTTTGGCCCAGTTGGACTGAAGTTTACTACAAAGTGGTTTGCCTAATGCTTGTCTCCATAAGTGCATGTATGTGACAAGCTGATTGACTTTCTGATCTAAATGATGTAATGTTTTCTCTAGTCACCTCGCTGTAAATGCCTGCTTGACACCCATCTGTTCTGTGCATGGCATGGCAGTGACAACTGTTGAAGGGATTGGCAGCACCAAGACTAGACTCCATCCAGTACAGGTATTTATTTAGGCAGGAACAAATGAACAGGTCAACGGGATCCAGTGCCTCTAGATAAGCTTTGTTGAAAAGAAATCAAATTATCATTGAGTTTCTTTCAGTTTTTTCTACATAAGTATATTGCATTTAAATCCAATATTCTAATGTTTTGACGATAGGCATTCAATTAAAGAATTCAACTATACCGAATGATTCAAACGCCCAGTATGCAAGGTGCATGTACTGGGGTAATGGAGATTTGGTGACATGGTATTGTTAGTAATACGTCTCGACAAATTGAAGCTTGCTCAGTTGAGTAAGTACATGTACATCAATTCTAGCTAGCAAGGGCTGGCACTCAACTGGTGTTACTATGGAAATTGGCAAAATGGGTAGCCCGCAATCACTGGACCAATGGAGGCAAGGCATCAGCTGACTAATGGGCTATCAGTGATCATTCAGTTCCAACTGTCGGAACAACCCGCTGTAGAATTTTTCAAAAGGTTGTTTGGACTCATCACATCGGGTTGGGATACAAACCAACGTGTTTGACCGCGTACAGCAATGTCGTATGTTCAGAGCAGATAGTTGGCATTGATCTTAATACTGGGGACACTCCACGAAATAGGGGCACAAACTGTAACTGAATTAAAAAATCAACATTTGATCGGAGTTTCTCTCATCCATGAAAATCGGAAATCGCAAAGCGACAAAATCGGCCAAGAATTTCAGAACTTCTTATTATAGATACTACACTAGCCATCTGAATGCGGGTAAGTGTAGGTAATATGGGACCATGAAGCTCATCTACATAATTTGCATAAAGACTGATAGAACAATTAGAAAGAAACATTGGTTGTTGGGAAGAGTAACAATTACTCTTCCTTTGAATTCTACAACTTACACCATGTTGTATCCATAACAACAGTTAAGATGCAAAGTATGGCGTCATCACCAAAGGCAGTATGGGACAGCGTGTGCAGGTAATTTGGAACGGTGAGAGCAGGTAATATGGGACACTGATTCTAAGACAATGTAATGTCATTATAATTATTTTGCACAACCGGAAAATATTTACACATGCAATTTCACTTATTTAACACGTTTATGTAAATAAAAGCATCCTTTGACGTCTCCATACATAAAACTCAAACAAGACGTGTAATTATCTCACTTTAAAAACGCAATTTCACAAATTAATTCAAATTGCCTTGTCATACTTGGAATTAAGATAAAAGTGTATTAACACATGCATCATATCGTGACATGTATGCCAAAACCTTTATTTAACACCTGAAATATTGTTCAATGCTGTTTTTGTTACATTATAATTGCCTATGCAAGCCTATAATTTGTTGTCAGGACCATGTCTTCGGCCCTGCATGCATTGATGGCCATCTGCATGTCTTCAGGCAACCACAAAGCCCGGCGTGATTTCCAAACATATTTGACTGACATCTGAACAAAAAGGATAGCAAAATAAAAGTTATCCACAAAACCTCTTAAACTGCTTTACCTAAACGTCACTGAACATTGCCAATATAACAGTCAATTAGATCCAGGTAAAATAATGTCGCAGTTTACTCCTTTCTCTCAGTCGGAGGTTGAAAAACTTATAAGGCAATTTCCAAGCGAAATCTGCTCACATGACACAGTTCCATTATGGCTTATCAAAGAAAATCTGTCTAGCCTGTTGCCTATCATTTCGAAAATTGTCAATGCTTCGTCGGTATCTGGGGTTTTCCCTGACACCCTCAAAGAGTCTGTAATCACCCCTGTACGTAAAAACCTACTCTTGATCCCAATATCTTCAGAGTTATCGCCCCGTCTCTAATATTAAATGTATCGCGAAGATAGTTGAGAAGTCTGTAGCAGGTCAGGTGATAACACACGTCAAAAATATCGTTCTTGGGGAGAAATTCCAATCTGCTTAGAAAACACATCACAGTACAGAGACGGCCTTGCTCAAGAAGAAAGTGACATTCTTCAGTCTCTTGACCGTAACAACGCTGTCCTTTTGGTCTTACTCGACATGTCTGCAGCCTTTGATACAGTTGACCATCAAATCCTTGTTGATAGGCTTGAAAGATTGTGTGGAATTTCAGGAACAGTCAAGGCATGGTTTACATCATACTTCGATAATCAGCGTACGAGAGTGTTTGTTAGGCATGCTCAGTCAGTTGAACATGTCTTAACATTTTCAGTGCCACGAGGCTCTATCATCGGACCACAATGTTTCATTATGTACACTTACCCAGTTGGTGATATAGCTGTGTTCTTAGTAGATCACTCACTAAATGCTTATTATTATATTATTATTATTAAACATAATTCTAATTCTGAATTAATATCACTAATCATATGCTTGAACAAAGAGAAAGTTAACATCAAACTTTAAGTATTTACCCAAATCACCACGACACTTATTTGACAGGCAAACAAATCCTGTCCGCCATATTGGATTTCCCGTATTACCTGCACCTCGTTGTGATAGCGGAGCTTGCATTCAATGTTTTATTATTCCTTGAAGATTTATACACAGCACCCCACACGTTGACCTAGCTCAAAAGATTTTATAAAATCGCTAAATATGACAGGAATTCAGAATATCCCCGGACAGTTTTACAGTTTCAGCATTGGTAAAATACGTATTTTTGGATCAGCAACAAAAATACCACTGACGTCACATACCTTGTCAAGTTTTAATCAACTTTTTCCGTGAGATTCACTAAAAACTACAACTCCTCCATGTAGGAAGTGATGGCTAGTGTCTATAACAACTGTGACGCCACGCCCCTCGAGGGCGCCCTCCTCCTCGAGGCGCAGTGCGTCGGACGGCACGCCGGAGAGTCCCTGAGCGGCTAGGGACGAGTCCGTTGGGACCGAAGTATACCGTCCCCCAAGGTAGTTGGTCTTCGTCGAGATGATGGCTAATCTGATTGGTCGAAACTTAGTGACGTAACCCTGACAGACCTGACTTGAAATAAACTCCGCCTGGACACCTGACTTATATACAACAATTAACAAGCGGCTGGTTTATTCATCAACACACTCAACCAATACACCAGTAGAGGGCGCTATTGACGGGGAGACTGTGTGTTTATACGTGACCGGACTTCGAATTAGGACTTCGAATCAGTGCCGAATCAGGGACTTTAGCAAGTCTACGGGGCTTATTGTCAGGGCTGCGCTACTCGCAACTCACGTCACGACATAGCAATCCACCCTTGCATCAACCGCAAGCTCCTATCAGGAACTATACCGCACCACCAATCAACCCCTCAACCTACCGAGCCCCTCAACAGCACACGCACCACTCGGACTTAGGCACAGTCACACTAGGCTAGGTGACTTTAACCCTTGCACAGGATTCTCGACCCTTACCTCAGGATCAGCCCTTGATCAGGACGACTAAGTCTTGCTTGCGCGCGCCTTTTATAGCTTTCGCGCTGCTCTGACCACGCCCGCGCAAGCGCTCACGTGACCAAGCAGTGACTTCCGTTGCCCTATCGCACAACGCACAAGGCGGAGCCTATGCGCTGCACTTGCTTAACACACAGCTATTCGCGCCTAACATCTGCCTCTGTACGTTACTGGGCAGAGCGCCATCTATATCTTTGCACCACGCCTAGTGACTTGCGCCCTCTGTCACGTCACACAACTATTGAGGGCGTTGTTTCGTGCCAGTGAATTTTTACAGAGAAGGAAGCGCCGATTTTAATTCATGCGTCCCAAATTACTTGCAGTCCCATATTACCTGCACGTACGCTAAGTAGACGCCATTGTTTGCACCTAATGTTTTTTATTCGTTGTTACCTAACCTCTACACGCCAATGTCTGCAGATGACTTGCGACCTTATCAACTACTTCACACATTTTACTCTAGGGATGCGGTAGTGAAACATGGCTGCATTTATCTGGATGCTTTTGTTTACTATGAATTCCATGGGTAATTTCTCCCTGCAAGAACATAGAATTGTATAAGACAATTTTTATCGTCACGTATTACATGTATTATTAGAATTCTTTTGATGACTTCCGAATATAATAACTACGTACACTTTATCAAAGTGCTTGTGTTTAATGCTGCAAAGCGGCATCTCACGGATCCAACGCGTAGCGTCCTTAGGTCTACATGCATTTTTTTGCAGTACAGGATCACGAAGCTACCTGCGACAAACTGCAAAAATTTAGAGATATGGGATGGACTTCACTAGTGTCACATTTTCCAATAAAAATGGTAATGGATACAAAAGATTATTTTAATTGTTTTTTCCCTCTTGGAAACTTCAGGACTTATATTTCTGTTTCATTTTAAGCTTCCACGTCGTTCATTGAAGGCAATTATTAATCGTACGGTCCTTGTTAAGAACTAAATGACAACTCTGATTGTCTGACTGACCTTCGGTGATCTTTTGTTTAACATCTGACAAATCAGTCGGTATTAATTTTTGAAGATGAGTCACGCGCATTCTTATCTTTTGGGTCAAAGTATAATGCATCAAGTGGGCCCTAGATATGCCACTATTAGCTGCTGGTGCCAACGGGGCCACCAGCTGTCGTGAGCACCACCGCTTGTTTTTGCTTCTTTGGGTCAGAAAGTTATTTGCACACGTAGGATTTTGCACATTTTATGTATACAGTGCATTTATTTTTATGTAAAATTGTTGGGATCGTCAAACAAGCCAAAAGTGAAGTTCAGGATTAGGGTAACTGGGTGGGGTTAATCTCATACGTAATCTTGTTTTCACTGCTACTTCCGGCCAATAACAGTGGATTTTATTACATTGTGCTGAATCAATAATAAAAAACTAATACTTCTACTTGAACATGTAATGGTCCCGACCATTATTTTTGAAAACCTACTATGAAACGTTTTTGTGACAAATGCAGCTGGGAATACATGTCTTATAAAATTAAAACGCACGAGAACAAAGAGAACAAAGTAATAATTATGATAATAATGACAGAAATATTGAAAAATGCCAATGTGTTCTCCAAATGAAATATACAATTACGATATCTCATATGACAGCTTGTGACGTAATGGCAGAAGAAAAGCAGATGATATCAATATAATTGCTTTATTTTCACATTGTGCATCAATCAGTCAACGGTGTTCTCATTAAGTGACCAAACCCCTATAACTTGCAACACAGACTCCCCATTTCACATCACATTTCGACCACTTTGTTGTAACGGATTCAGGAATGTTATGCACAGTCATGGAATGTACCGGTTCTTTTCAGAACCGCACATAACCAGAAAGAGATAATTCACACGGTGTATCCGCAAATCTCTTACCTTTCATGAAAAGTATATAGTTTTGAAATGTTAATCCTCACCTTGTTGCAGTATTGTTTAGAGTAATCGGTAATTCATAAATAAAATTGTCTCACTTCGTGAAAACAGCAAAACCTGGAAGTCTTGATTGCACACACTTTTTGCCACTCTGTGCACATGAATGAAAAAGTACCTTTTGTTACATTTCAGCATGCATGCACACAACATACAGAACATAGTATTTTCACTATTTTTTACCTGCAAGCGAGCAAAAGGTGACTGTTTCACTTCGTAAAAACAGAGGAACAAAAAGTAGTGACCGATTTGTTAAACGTTTACTCTTAATTCGGTTGAATTAAGAAGTAAAGAAGAAGTAAGAAGAAGTGTACTAAAGAAGCCAGGCCAGTTCATTTATGTTGTAACCTCAGTGATTAGTATAGGTCTGTACATTAACCGTTTGGTTTTCAGATTTTTTTTAACACTTATACTAACTTCGGTGTTTTTGATAGGAACGTTTGGCCAAGGCCCATGGCTCGCAGTGTGGTTTCTGCACTCCCGGCATTGTTATGTCAATGTATACCCTGCTGAGGAACAATCCCCACCCGACTATGGAGGAAATAGAGAGCGCATTAGAGGGCAACCTGTGCCGCTGCACAGGATATCGGTCGATCCTTCAAGGCTACAAGACATTCACCAAGGTTAGTAGATATAAATTGAAAAATTCAACATGATGTGCGGTCCTCCCACTTTCGCTTGTTACGCATCATCATGCACGCACCATTTGGCCTTTGGTACTATGAAATCTATTTCCAGACAGATTGTGAGAACAGAGAAAATTATGGTGTCCAGTATTATTGAATGGAATCATCTCATATGGTCACCCTCGGGGCTGAACTGCATTGTACATTACGATAAATAACATAAAAAGTTTCATAAAGGAAAACAATTGTTTTTGTGTTAACGTCAAAAGTAATGTAGTCCCATTTCCCATTGATTTCTCTCCATTTATGTGGAATTGAAGAAAGAACCCTAATGCTGAACAGCTTTAGAAATGCATTAGGTGTGTGCTACAATATGCTCAATATCGGTTGGTTTTGCTGACAAAAATCACACACCCTGTTATTTAATATTTCGCTGGTTCTTTTGGTTATTCTGCACTTCTGGATCTGGATTAAAACTGTTATCAACTCCCACTGTGGAATGTACATGATACGCAATGTGAGAAAAAAGTTGATTGCACATCTCCCCGGTATATGTCACTGATGGCACATTTATTTACAGAATTATTTGCATGTAACAAAAAAAATGAAAAAAAAAAGGCAAGTGTGCATCTAATTTTCTAATAGGGCTCGTTAATCATTTGTCAAGTTTTAATTCTGTGGAAATCTGTGTATGTAGTCATTTTTCTGGTTTTTAGAAATGACATAACTCAGCACTCTTAACTTTCAGAATAAAATTACATAAATGCATTTCATTCCAGCATTTGACTTATCAAATTTTCAGGAAGGATGCTGTGGTGGTGATACAAACTGCTGTATGAACAATGAACAGAATTATGCTAATGAACAGGAGGAAGGGGTACGTATTCGTAGAGATGTCAGCAAAATCATCACAAAACTTATTTAGTCTGTTGAATGCAGTAAATCAAGGTTGTAAACTTCAGTCATTGTAGTGTAGTGTTAGTAGCTTTGGAGTCTGACGATCCAGACAGTAGGCCTAATGCCAGGGTTAAGTTGCTCAATTTCTACCTGATTTATGTACCAATTAAGTAAGGAACTTTTTAAGGCACCTTCCCATATGTTCCTTTTTTCGGTAGACCCTATGTTGCGTACACGATGCGTTCATGCATTACACTTTTACAGATATACCGAAAAAATCGACTTATTTAACATCGCACTCGTGTGCATTGCATTTGGCCGTCAAAATCGCATCGGGAGCGATTTTATACAATAAGGGGTCGATTAGATCAACCGAGCTTCGAATAATTATCGATTCTGGCACTATCGACACGTTGATTAACATGACAGTATATTACCAGCTACCGAAAGAACAGAGGCCGACTCTGCAAAAGTGTGATACCAGGGTCCGGCAGGTCTGTGGTAGCCCGTTGAAAATATATGGGACTGCATGGTTAGATTTGCGAATCGGGAAGACTGTACACCCGGTACGTTAAAGCCGCATTTGTAGATATCAGAATACCACCTATGTTGGGAATGGACTGGTTGTTGTCTATGTGGCAGAGCTAGAGATTTGTTATACTTTTAGTAAGCGTCTTTTCAAAGGAGTAGTTGCCCTTATTAAATCAGTTTCCTGCGACTTTTCCCTCAAAGATCATTGGTGTATGTGGAGTTTTTGTTGCTTTGCAAGTTCCCCGAAGTGTGCCATTTTCCCTCGTTACTTGGTTTTCTATTTTTGTTGGAAGATCCGGTTGGGGAATATTTTCTTTTTAGTAAAACTTAGCTTAAAATTTTATTAATAAGGACAACATACGTTTGGTCAAGGTTTTTGGTCTTTCATATTCTTGGTCTAAGATTAGGTCACAACCAACAGAGTGACGTTTAGTGGATGTGTGAGTGTACAATGGCTGACGTCCTGACTCCACTCCAGCTTTTGGTCTGACCCCGTACCAGACGACTCCAGTCTTGTCACAGATGATGTCATGACAGCCGAGCCACAGATGATGTCATGACAGTCGAGCCGAGTTCAAGTGTGTTGGAGGTGTTAAGGCATTAGGCCTGCATGCAAGCCATCATTCTACAGCAGTTTCAGCAGATCCAGATGTTGAAGAAAGCTTTAACCCAAGTAATGGAGAGCAACAGAGGCAGCGGCACTACATCCTGACCTTAGAGCGCACCTTACATGTACATCAGTCACAAACTGGAAGAAGCGTATCGAAGATACGCTACCACCCATTTCCGCACCAGAAAGCCAGCAGTCCCACATCCTGCAGAAACACCCTACACGCCTTTGTCTAGTCCCGATGATGAAGTCCCTACCATTGCCCCGCCGAGTAGCAAGTCGAGCAAAGACGACGGAGGCACAAGATGTAGCCAAAGTTTACGAGAAGCCCAGAGGAGTGATCCAGCCATAAAAAGAGTGGTGGAGCTCAAGTTGGCCAAAGCCAAGAGTATAAGTTGAAGGAAGGTGGCACATCAACCAAAATTTGTACGGAAGCTACTTCATGCGTGGGAACACCTGGAAGTGAGTGGAGGTGTACTTCCATACAAGACAGGCGGAGCCAAGGCAAGGTACTTGCCTGTACTACCCCGTGGAACGAGGGAGGAGGTTTTCAAGGGGCTTGACCACAGCATGGGGAATGACCTATGGACAGGTATGGAAGCTTGTGCGGCAGAAATTCTTCTGGCCAAGTCTTCACAATGAGACGATGAGCTATATGAGGCCACATCAGCAACAATTCCAGTTACACCTGGGTCACAGAATAGCCACCGTCTCATTCCACCACCAGATAAATTCCAAGATTAAGTTTAATAAACAGAGTTCCCACTTTTCCATGTTTCTTTAATTGTACTCTGCTGCTGAACGCATTTATTTATAATTGTATAAACATTCTTTATTTGTATCATTGCTAGGGACAGCAATTATTTCAGATGGGGCGAGTGTGGCAGAGTTAGAAATTTGTTATACTTTTAGTAAGCGTCTTTTCATAGGAGTAGTTCCCCTTATTAATCCAGTTTCCTGCGACTTTTCCCTCAAAGATCCTTGGTTTAAATAGAGTTTTTGTTGTTTTGCAAGTTCCCCATAGTGTGCCATTTTCCCCGTTATATCTACAGGGGGAAGTCTGCATTTCACAAGACTTGAGTTATATGTCAATGGTGAATGAGTTAAGTGTACATGTACAAGTGCTGCCGCTGCGCCATTTGTCGGCAGAGTGATAGTGACAAGGACTACGGAGATACCGACTAGGCATGAGACCATTGTGTCCGGAAGGGTTGCTTGTCAGTATGAGGAGGTGACAGGAAGAATGATCATGGAACCAGTTGATTCAGGTGGCTGAATTGCGGAAAAGGGCCTGGTAATGGCCAAGTCTGTGGTTGATGTACCAGCTGAAGTGGTGCCCATTCGAGTATTGAACCTAAATAAGGAGAAACGTGTCGTGCGTGCAGGGACTAAAGCTGCAACGATAACACCCGTGGAGGTGGAGGTGGAGACTCCGCCAGCGGCAGACACGATTATGGGACACGAGGGGGCGCTACCCAATCATTTGACCGAGTTATACGGCCGAAGTCAGAGGAATTTGGCCCCACATGATCATGCAAAATTGAGAGGGTGTTTGATGGAGTTTCAGGATGTGTTTTCAAAGGGTGACGACGATATAGGCAGAACTGATATAGTTAAGCACAGCATCGACACTGGTGGCGCCAGACCAGAGAACAAAGAAGCCGAGGAGGCACCCTGTGGTTAACCAACAAGAGATCAGTCTCAAAGTGGAAGACTTGAAGAGGCGCGGCTAACGTTGTGTTAGTACAGAAGAAAGACGGGACGAAACGGTTGTGTATCAACTATAGAGGACCGAATGCGGTGACAATAAAGGATGCCTATCCTCTGCCAAGAATTGATGACACGTTGGATGTGCTAGGGGTACTTGCAGGCAGCCTTGGACGAGGATGCACAGCAGAAGTCAAGTTTTTGGTACGGAATGGCTGATGGAGACAGTGTTGTCAGGACTGCAGTGGGAGATCTTATTGGTGTATCTTGATAATGTCATTGTCATTTGCAAAACGGTAGAAGAGGAGTTGGGACGACTCTTAACAGTCTTTCAACGGTTGAGAAGTGCTGGGCTTAAATTCAAGCCGAGCAAGTGTATAAACCTGTTTCAGAGGTCAGTGACCTACCTTGGCCACATTTTGTCGGCTGAGGGTGTAGCAACGGACCTCGCTAAGGTTAAGGCAGTCGCTGATTGGCCGGTCCCAAATAACGTGAAGGGGGTGAGGAGTTTTCTGGGCCTTGTCTCGTACTACTGCAGGTTCATCAAAGACTTTGCTAGCGTCGCCAGCTTACTGCATACCTTGACGTCAAAGTCAAAAGAATTCATTTGGGACTTGGCCTACCCGTTACCAAGTAGCGAGTACATTCTGGATACAGATGCGTGTTTAGAGGGCATTGGAGCTGTACTGTCTCAGGTGCATGACGGTGTCGAGAAAGTTGTGGCTTTTGCAAGCCGGAAGTTGAGCAAAGCTGAGAGAAACTACTGCGTCACATCGAAGAGAGCTGCTCACTGCGGTTACATATTTGAAGTACTTCCACCAGTACCTTTACGGTCAAAAGGTCAAATTGCAGCCGGATCATTCTTCTCTGGTAATACTCAAAGAACCCGGAAGGACAACTTACACGATGGTTGGAGGTTGTTTTAGAGTATGACGTCACAACCCAGCACCGTCCGGGTGCCAAGCATCAGAATGCTGATACTCTCTCTAGACGACCTTGTAAACAGTGCGATCTTTGTAATGCACAAAATAATTGCGATGGTGACATACCATCGAAGAAGGTATGTCACCACGGCACCTGCACTTTTAAGTGCAGGAAGAGGAGCGCCCTCCTTGGGATGAAGTAGCCCACAGGTCCTCGGCAGGGAAGACCTATTGGTCTTACAGGGCCCAGTTGTCAGTAGAGACAGTGTGTTATACCAACGATGGGAGTCGAATGATGGTAGTTCAGTTCAATGGAGGTTGCTGGTTCCTGAGATGTTCAGACGCGAATTTGTTGTAGAATTGCATGGTGGGAAGTTGGGAGGCCATCTTGTCCTGAAGAAAACACTGGCCCGTGTGAAGCAGCGGTACTTCTGGTCAGGTATGAGTGCTGATGTAAGAGCATACATCCGGAAATGTGATCAATGTGCAAGGAAGAAGCCGCCCCAAAGAAACGGCGGGCGCCCTTGCATGAGTATAATGTTCAAGGAACTATGGATAGAGTGGCATTATAATTGGTCGGTCCTCTCCCAAAGGCCGAAGAGAGGAACCATTGGATCCTGGTAGTTGGAGACTACACCACAAGATGGATGGGGGCATATGCGCTCCCAGATGCGTAGGCTGAAACAGTAGCCTCGAAGTTTGTCAGAGAATTGGTTTGTCGATTTGGGGTGCCGAGGGAGGTCCATTCGGATCAAGGGACCAACTTCAAATCGGACGTATTCCAGGAAATGTGTCGGCTGCTGGGAATAAGTAAGTCAAGAACAACAGCATACAATCCTAAGTCAAACGGGCTCATAGAAAGCTTCAATAAGACTCTCGTCACCATGGTTTCTATGATGATTGATCCACACAAAGGTTAACGCGATAGGGACCAGTACCTCCCATTTCCAACCAGCGCATGCAAATGTACTACACAGAGAAACCCCAAACATGATGATGTTAGGTCGAGAAGTCACTCTCCCGGTTGACACAACAATCTAGCAGCCGGCCCCAAGTGATGAAAAGGCAAAAAGTGACTATGCGAAGAGTTGCAGGGTCCAGATTAGGAGTGCTCACGAGAGGGCACAGAAATGCCTGGGGAAAGCTATGAGGCGCCAGAAGAAGAACTATGATCGCCGGGCGTGCGATCCTGGTATCCAAGAGAAGGACTTTGTTTGGATGTGCAACCCCGCGAAGAAGAAAGGGGTTAGCCCCAAGCTCCAGTTA